CCCTGTCTTTATTCTCTCTCCCTGCCGTCCCTGTCTTTATTCTCTCTCCCTGCCGTCCCTGTCTTTATTCTCTCTCCCCACCCTGTCCCTGTCTTTATTCTCTCTACACCCCGTCCCTGTCTTTATTCTCTCCCCCCCCCCCCCCTATTTTTATCCCCCCCCCCCACCCCCCAACAATGTGAAATTCTCTCGGGAGACGATTGGACAATCTCAGCTGGGTTCTTGCTGTTTTGCTAGAGCGTGTGGGCCCGAACTGCTGGGAAAAGCCCAGTCACTTTGACTCGAGTGAGGGACAGCTCGCTTGTGAAGGTGGCCCTTGTTATAACAAGGACTAGCAGCCAGGAAGGGCCGTGTGCTGGGAAGCTGAATGAGAGTCAATGCGCGGTGCGCTCTGGAGAGAGTCTCGGCGAGGCCTGGTCACACAAAGTGTCCCCTTCCTCATGTGCTACAGGAAAGGGTCAGCTTCCCCCCCCCCTCGCCATCCGCTGCCTCACAAAGGGAATGAGTCCAACCCTAGACGGTTACAGAGCTGTGGAGAAACATCTGAAACATCTGAAAAAGTGCAAATGAGAAAGCTCTTGCCCCTAGGTCAAGATTCCTGAGGTGCAAATGTCATTTTAGACTTGATTTGGTTAAATTTTTTCCAGTTACTAACGGGTTTGTAGGGTATCTAGTCTCTCTAGGGTGAATGTTGATCCCCCCAAAAACATCTCAGCTTCCAGCTGTATGACGCCCCCCTGGGAAACAGCCGGGATCAGAAGGAAGAGGATGGTGTCCCTTCGTTGAGGCTGTTGCAGCCTTTGGTGGAATCTTCCCATGTTCTGCCTCTCCCCATCTTAAAAGCCTGGATAGACAGGGTCACTGTGCACATCAGTGCTGCTATTGGGACCGCTGTTGTTTTGTCCTCACTGTGTTAGAGAGCGGACTGGTGTCTAGGGGACAGTATCACACTCACCAGAACAGAGGGAGCTTTACTCTGTCTCTAACCCCGTGCTGTCCCTATCCTGGGAGTGTTTGATGGGGACAGTGCAGAGGGAGCTTTACTCTGTATGTAACCCCGTGCTGCCCCTATCCTGGGAGTGTTTGATGGGGACAGTGCAGAGGGAGCATTATTCTGTATCTAACCCTGTGCTGTCCCTGTCCTGGGAGTGTTTGATTGGGGGGACAGTGTAGAGGGAGCTTTACTCTGTATCTAACCCTGTGCTGTTCCTGTCCTGGGAGTGTTTGATGGGGGACAGTGTTAAGAAAGCTTTACTCTGTATCTAACCCCGTGCTGTCCCTGTCGTGGGAGTGTTTGATGGGGACAGTGTAGAGGGAGCTTTACTCTGTATCTAACCCTGTGCTGTCCCTGTCCTGGGAGTGTTTGATGGGAGACAGTGTAGAGGGAGCTTTACTCTATCTAACCCCATGCTGTCCCTGCCTTGGGAGTGTTTGATGGGGGACAGTGTAGAGGAAGCTTTACTCTGTATCTAACCCCATGCTGTCCCTGTCCTGGGAGTGTTTGATGGGGGACAGTGTAGAGGGAGCTTTACCATGTCTCTAACCCCGTGCTGTCCCTGTCCTGGGAGCGTTTGATGACGTTGGTGCCTGATGTCCCTTCTTCATTGTCAACACGTCTGCCCTTAATGAGTATAAGGGAAAAGGTTGGAAATCCTCAAAATGGTCTCCTCTCCATCAGTGCCATGAGGACCTTAATCTGCCCCAGCTCCTGTTTCCCGGGAAAACTGGGGCCCTCTGTTACAATGCGGCTCACCCCAGTATTGCTGAAACTCGGTCAGGTCTTCCAGGAGAGGGTGGGCAGTGTGTTCACGAGTGGAACTCAGTGTGACAGTGTCTTCGTGAGTCTACCTCAGTGTTGACCGACGTGTTGATGTGTAGACCTGGGCGATGGGCCGTGTGCTCTGGGTTAGTTGGACGTGTTGGACAGGAGCTGGTGGGGAGTGAAGGCCTTGCTGATGCTCGGTATGAGACCACCTCAGTGTGCCTTGAGTTCTGTTTCAGAATCACTTCAAGCTGAGCTTAGTCCATCATCTCTGGTGCACTCCATCCCCGCGTGAATACGGAAAACTGGGTTTTCTCTGTCCTTCTGTGATTAGGCAGCTCCCCCATTAGCCTGAATCCCAATCCGTACCAACCTCTGATATATCATCCTCTCCCAATCATTCCCAACGTTTCTAAGACAATTGGGCGTTGGCTTGGTTTGAGGCTGGAGCCCATCAGTGTGTGAACAAGGCTCCAACATCCCCCCCCCGCCCAGGGCCACGAGAGGGAGAGCTGTTGGCTCAGGCAGAGCTCAGGGAATTGGTCTCGAACAGAAAGAAATCAAGGAGCGTGAGATTAACCTGAGAGCCCTTCAGGCTTGGGGTCGCGGAGCGAGGGTTACCTTTTTTTTGTGACTGTGACCTCTGATCTTTAGCAGTTCTGTCTGCCATGCTGACCAGGGAGGGGTGGGGAATGAGCTTAAAGAAAGCATCAACCACCACCCCCCCACCTCCACATCCTGCCTTCTCCACCTCTTTTCACACCACCCCCCAAACAAAAATCTATCCATTCTGAGACTAGACTATTGAACTATAATGGGCATTACAGCCAGCCTCAGCAGGTACCTGTGTGGAGGGGTGATCAGACATATTCGGGCAAGGGTATGTGGTCTCCTTTCTATCCCTCTCACTCGCTAGCGTGCTTTCTGTCTCTTGCACGCTCGCTTTCTCCCTCGTGCTCTCTCTCACTCGCGCGCTCTCTCTCGCTGCTCTCTCTCTCTCGCGCTGTATACAATCCCCACCAAAGCCTCAACAAGCCAACAGCAGTTATCTCACCCTGGGCTAGGACTTGGCTCCGTTCTGCACTCACGTTCTCAATCTGGGGTGGCAGGACTGACGTACAAAGGGAGACTGGATCCGCCACATCCTTCATTAAACATCCCAAAGTGCTCGAGCGCAGAGTGTTTGAGACAGGCCATGAAAGGGCACCTGAGGAGACCATTCTGATTCCTGAAACAGCAGGACTGACATATGGAGAGAGACTGGATTGGTTAGGACTATACTCACTGGAGTTTAGAAAAATGAGGGGGAAATCTCAGAAACCTATAAATTTCTAACAGGACCAGACAGGGTAAACACAGGAAGGATGTTCCTGATGACTGGGGGGGAAGTCCAGAACCAGGGGGTCACAGTCTGAGGATATAGGGTGGGACTGAGATGAGGAGAAATATCTTCACCCGGAGAATGGGGGAGTCTGTGGAATTCTCTGTCACAGAAAGCGGTTGAGGCCAAAACATTGAATGTTTTCAAGAAGGAGCTGGATATAGTTCTTAGGGGATCAAAGGGGGAAGAAAGCAGGAGCAGGGGAATGAGATAACAAGGTGTAGAGCTGGATGAACACAGCAGGCCAAGCAGCATCATAGGAGCAGGAAGGCTGACATTTCAGGCCTAGACCCTTCTTCAGAAAATGAGTTGGATGATCAGCCGTGATCCTACTGCATGGAGGAGCAGGGTCGAAGGGCTGAATGGCCTACTCCTGCTCCTAGTTTCTGTGGCTCGCGTCGGTTAGAGGCAATGATCAATTTGACCTCCATCCTAACCCGCTCACCATGGGGCAACATCCTGCAGGTGAAACAGGGTGTGTCTGACTTGCCAAGTCTGGTGGAAAGTATTCCCAAACATTTCATTGCCTGGCGTCCTTCCTTACCCATAGAGAGAGAGAGAAAAAAGACACTGGTTCCTGGCCCAACTCCTGCCATTTATTTGCCGAATAAATCCCTCTTGTTCCCCTAACCCCTCTCCCAGTCAGTGTTCCTATTCCACTTCCAGCAGAATCCTGGAAATGAGTCTCCAATTGCCAGACATTTGCGGACAATCCTGTGGTTTTGTGAACCTATTACAGACGCTGACCCGTCTTTTAACTTCCCAGCCTCATGGTCATTGTCTTAAATGCATCAGAGTGGGACCCTTCCTTACCCAGCCCCCCAACCCACGTCCTCCTCCACCCCTTCCCCACCCTCGAGGACGGGAATCAGGTATTACTCGTTCATTATCTCCCCCCACCCGCTTCCCAACCTTGTTCCCGGGTCATGATCCTAATGTGAACCCACTTTGGAAGGTGATGCTGAACTGTATAAATAATTCCTGTACAAAAACAATGGTAAAGAGCCCCCTTGCTTGTAACTGTATTATTCCGTAGAAAACACTGGTTGACTTCCCAGAGTTTTTAAAAAAAAGGTGTTAAGTTATTAGATCTCCAAGCCTCTAGATATGGAAATGAGTTGTATGTATATAAAAGAGTACTTGAGGTTAACTCCATGTGTGTGTGTGTTTTTGTTCAATTCTGATCACCAGGGAAAGCAGAGGCTGGGTTTAGAGTCCAACACTGATTCTAATCCAGTTCTGAGGAAGGGTCACCGGACCCGAAACGTTAACTCTGCTTTTTCCTTCACAGATGCTGCCAGACCTGCTGAGCTTTTCCAGCAACTTCTGTTTTCGTCACTGATTCTAATCCAACACCCACCCTCTGTTAACATGAGCGTTAAACTCCCCCCCTCACCTCACCTCCCGACTTTGGGTGTCCCAGTTTGAGCATTTTGCGGAATGACTCCACAGAGGCTGGTATCCCATCACCAAGTCACCCTTTACTTATTCTTGGGCAGTGCGCAGACATTGGCTCAGCCAGCTCAGACCCGGAGAGAGCAGAACCTCTGTTTATTTTCCTCGTTCTTTCTCATCGAGTGAGTCAACCTTCCCGAATGGAGGCATGAAGCCAGAAGTGCATCAGAGACGACTGTCGTGTGTGTATTTTCTTCAGGAGTGTGCTGTTTTCTCTCGTCGCCACTGAACTAACTCCACAGAGACCGGTATCCCCTCACCCTTTATTTACACGCAGAGAGTCCGTGACACTGATCCAGTTCCCTCAGAGCCAGCTCTCAGAGTGAACGCAACCTCTTACACTCCTGTTTGTATCTGTTAGCCAGGGGTCCCTGATTGGACCAGGTTAACAGCCCCAATCAGGGAACTCATATTCTATGAGGTCCATCTTGCTGACTTCATTCCAATCAACTATATTTTTATTTTTTAATACTTTTTTTTCTGCTGGGGATGTGGGCATCATTGGCAAGGCCAGTATTTGTTGCCCATCTTTCATTGCCCCCATGAACTGAGTGTCTCATTCAGAGGGTATTTAAGAGTCACCCACATCGCCATGGGTCTGGAGTCACGTGTAGGGCCAGACCGGGTAAGGATGGCAGATTTCGAGGGGAATCGATGACGGACTGGTTTTTACCTCTAGATTAACAAATCCAGAAATCAATGTGCTGGGGACCTGGGTTCGAATCCCACCGCTGCAGATGGTGGAGTTTGGATTCGATGAAATAATCTGGAATTCAGAATCTAAACCATTGTCCGGAAAAGCCCATTTGGTTCTGTAATGCCCTTTAGGGGAAGGAAACTGCCATCCCTTACCTGGTCTGGCCTACATGTGACTCCAGGCCCACAGCAATGTGGTTGACTCTTAACTGCCCTCTGGGCAATAAATGCTGCCTAGCCAGCGATGCCTTCATCCCATGAATGAATGAGAAAAGAATTTCCTTCCACAGAGGATATTAGTGAAGTAGATGGGTTTTGTGACAATCGTTGCTCGAACAGTTTTGGGCCCCTTATCTAAGGAAAGATATAATGGCATTGGAGACAGTCCAGAGAAGGTTCACACGACTGATAGTGGGTATAGAGGGACTGTGTTATGAGGAGAGGTTGAGTAGGTCGGGCCTGTAAACATTGGAGTTTACAAGAGTGAGAGGTGACCTTATTGAAACAGACAAGATTCTTAGGGGGATTGACAGGAGAGATGTAGAGAGATTGCTTCCCCCTTGTGGGAGAGTCTAGGACCAGAGGGGCATCATCCCATTATAAGGGGTCGCACATTGAAGACAGAGATGAGGAGGAATTTCTTCTCTCAGAGAGGAGTGAACCTGTGGAATTCTTTACCACGGAGGGGCTGTCGAGGCTGGGTCACTACATGTATTCAAGGCTGAGATTTAATCAGTAAGGGAATCGAGGATTATGGGGAAAAGACAGCAACGTGGAGTTGAAGATTGTTATGATCTTATTGAATGGCGGAGCAGACTCGATGGGCCGAATAGCCTGCTTCTGCTCCTACAACTTCTGATCCTCGGTTGCCATTAGCCAATGGATTTGTTTAAGACCTCGACGCTCATTCTGAAGCTGAGATGAGCTTTACTTTCTAGACTTATTCGTGTGAATTCCCACCAGCGCCCCGGTGGGAATTAAAGGCCCCGTTTCTCTCTGTTAACCTGGGCGTTTGGTTTGTTATCTGGATATCACCACAACACCACTCACCGTCTCCCAGTGGGGATCACACCAAATTGTGTCTGTCCCGACTGAGAGGGTTAGCCACACATCCTGACCTTCACCTTAAATCACTTTGCATATGAACAAGAGTAGGCCACTCGGCCCATCCAGCCTGCTCCCCCAATCAATAAGATCGCGGCTGATCTGATTTTAACCTCAGCTCTACATTCCTGTGTATCCCCCCCGGATCATCTTTCACCCCCCTTGGGTAATCACGAATCGATCTCCCTCGGCCTTAAAAATATTTAAAGGTTCTGCGTCCTCTGCCTTTTTGAGGAAAGGAATTCCAAAGACTCAACTCCTCAGAAGAAAAATGTTTCCCCATCACTGTTTATAAATGGACACCCCCTTATTTTTAAACAGTGACCCCTCGTTCTAGATTCTCCCACAAGAGGAGCCATCCTTTCCACATCCACCCAGTCAGGTCCCCCTCAGGATCGTAGATGTTTCAATTAATTTAGGATGTCTGGTTGGCATGGACGAATTGGACCGAAGGGTCTGTTTCCAAGTTGTATGTTTATGTGACTCTCCGAGTCTCCTATACTCCAGATGATACAGGCCTGGCCTTTCCTCATGAAGCAATCCACTCATTCCAGGGATTAGTCTGGTTAACCTTCTCTGAACTTTTGCTTTCACTGCGTTAACATCCTTCTGTAGGTATGGTGACCGGTCCTATACACAGTCCTCCTAATGTGGTCCTACCAATGCTCTGTATAACTGAAGTATCCCCTCCCTTTTGTCTTGCGTTCAGTTTATGGAAAATGTACACTGCACATGTCTCTACATTGACCGCTGTTCATTGCCCGAAGAATGAAGGAACGCGACAGTCGAGAAACGCGCCCTGTTTCCAAAGGTTAAAATTCACCTGGAAAGTCACAGGAGTGAGCGTTGAGGATTGATGACAGTGTCCGGTACTCATTTGCTAAAGAGACAGTTTTCAAATCTCAAAGTAGGGATCACAAAATGGTACGAATTTTGGTGTCCTTCACCCTCTCTTCATTCGGAACACTGCTCTCATCGAGTCACACAGAATCAGACCCTTCAGCCCAACCAGGCCATGCTGACCATAATCCCAGACTAAACTAGTCCCACCTGCCTGCTACTGGCCCATATCCCTCCAAACTTTTCCTACTCATGTACTTATCCAAATGTCTTTTAAACGTTGTGACTGTATCCACATCCACCACTTCCTCTGGAAGTTCGTCTCTAACTTGCACCAAGCCTCAATCACCCAGCATTCCTCCTACTCACCAACCTTTGTGCTCCCCAGTTGTGTGGGGCCCTCAGTTTTAAAGTTCTTGTACTTAGTTTTTGAATTTTCTGTGGTCTCACCATCTCCCTAATCTCCCCACCAGCCTCTGGAGAGGGTTCAGAAGAGATTTACCAGGACTGGAAGGTTTGAGTTATAAGGAGAAGCTGGGACTTTTTTTCACTGGAGTGCAGGAGTTTGAGGGATGACCGTGTAGAGGTTTATAAAATCGTGAGGGGTATAGATAAGGTGAATGCCTTTTCCCTAGGGTGAGGGATTTCAAAACTAGGGGGCATACTTGTAAGGTGAGAGGAGAAAGATTTATGAGTTACGTGGGGGCAAAATTTTTTTTACACGGAGAGTGATTCGTGTGTGGAATGAACTTCCTGAGGAAGTGGTGGATGTGGGTACAGTTACAATGTTTAAAAGACATTTGGATAAGTACATGAATAGGAAAGGTTTGGGAGGATATGGGCCAGGAGCAGGCAGCTGGGACTAGGATAGTTTGGAATTATATTTGGCATGGACTGGTTGGGCCGAAGGGTCTGTTTCCGTGCTGTGTGACTTCATGACCCTCTGATGGAGTCTCTGCGCTACTCCAATTCCGGCCCCTTGCACATCCTTGATTTCGATCCCTCTGTTATTGGCAGCTGGATCTTTAGTAGGTGGGGGCTCTGAACTCTGGGATTCTCTCCCTAAACCCTTCTCAGTCCTGTTCATCATCTCTAAACCTTGACTAAACTTTTGGTCCATTGGTCCTCGTACAAGAATGATCCTGGGGATGAAGGGATTGTAATATGAGGAATGGTTGAGGAGTCTGAGTCTGTACTCAATGGATTACAAGGATGAGGGATGGGGAATCTGACTGAAATTTTGACCAACTTCACCTGATGAAGGAGCAGCGCTCCGAAAGCTTGTGATTTCAAATAAACCTGTTGGACCGTAACCTGGTGTCATGTGATTTCTGACCTTGTCCATCTCAGCCCAACACCAGCGCCTCCACATCAAACTTACAAAACACTGAGAGGCCTGGATAGGCTGGACGTGGAGAAGATGTTTCCACGAGTAGGAGGGACCAGGACCAAAGGGCGGACAGTGAAGGCATGACCCTTTAGAAGTGAGATGAGGAGGAATTTCTTCAGCCAGAGGGTGGTGAATCTGTGGAACTCATTGCCACAGAGACCTGTGGAGGCCAAGTCATTGAGTGTATAAGACAGAGAAAGATAGGTTCCTGATTAGTGGGGAATCAAGGGTTACAGGGAGAAGACAGGAGAATGGGGTTGAGAAACATATCAGCCATGATTGAATGATGGTAGAGTAGACTTGATGGGCTGAATGGCCTAATTCTGCTCCTCTATCTTACGATCTTATGGTCTGTGAGGCTGACTCTCAGATTTTGTTCAATAACACTTTGTGAAACACTTTGGGATGATTCATTGCCTCACAGGTGCTATACAAATGCGCCCTATCTTCTGACGGAGGTGGTTTTTGCTCAGGAAATGCGTCAAAGTTGGCAGATCCAAACTTTCTTACACAACCTGAGCTTCCAAACCCAGGGGATTGTGGTCTAAGGATACAGGGTAGGCCTGAGATGAGGAGAAATGTCTTCACCTGGAGAGTGGGGGAGCCTCTGGAATTCTCTGCCACAGAAAGCGATTGAGGCCAAAACATTGAATGTTTTCAAGAAGGAGTTAGATATAGTTCTTAGGACTAAAGGCATCAAAGGGTGTGGGGGAGAAAGCAGGGATTGAGTTGGATGATCAGCTGTGATCGTATTGAATGGCGCAGCAGGCTCGAAGGGCCGAATGGCCTCCTCCTGCTCCTATCTACGTTTCAACACAGGAAACTTGTTTGTTTTTTATTTATTTGTGAGATGTAAGTGTCGCTGCTGAAGCCAGCGTTTTATTGCCCACCCTAAGTGCCCTTGAACTGGGTGGTTTTGCTTGAGCTATTTCAGAGGGTAGTTAAGAGTCAATCACATTGCTGTGGGTCTGGAGTCACATGTAGGCCAGTTTCCCTCCCCAAAGGGCATCAGGTGGGGCATTACCTCATTGACAATAGCTTTCCATTCCAGGTCTTTATGAACTAAATATAAATCCCATCACGCCCCCATGGTGTGACTTAGAGTCATAGAGACGTACAGCACAGAAACAGACCCTTCAGACCATCTCGTCCATGCTGACCAGATATCCCAAATTAATCTAGCCTCATTTGCCAGCATTAGGCCCATATCCCTCTAAACCCTTCTTTATTCATATACCCATCCAGATGCCTTTAATTGTACCAGCCTCCACCACTTCCTCTGGCAGCTCATTCCATACACACACCACCCTCTGCGTGAAAAAGTTGCCCCTCAGGGCCCTTTTAAATCTTTCCCCTCTCACCTTAAACTTAATCTAGGATTGGAACCCACATCTCCCGGGTATTAGTCTCTAACTTCCTAACCCCACCCCTCCCTTCTCTCCATCATCACTGGTATCATATTCTCTTAAATAACAAGATTACAAAGCCAGTGACAGAAACAGAATCACAAAATGGTTAATGGAAACTTATCGAGTCTGGGAGAACTCTCGGATCAACAGACAAGGATTTCTGACTCAGTTGATCGCTGGAGGACATCAATATCAGACAATGGTGTCAATTATGGACACAGCAAGATCCCATTGTGCCACTGGTGCTGGCACAGTCTATGTCAAATAATTGACTGTAGTTTTCCATCAGTGTTAATGTCAATGCAATGGTTTTTGCTTACAATGTGTTGTGTTCTGTAGCTGGTCTAAATCACCCTGTTAATGTGAGTAGGCACAAAACTTGACAGGGGAAATTGTACAACACTCCAATATGTCATCTAGACTTGAAACGTTAGATTGCTCTCTCTCTCCGTGGATGCTGTCTGACCCGCTGTGATCTCCAGGATTTGCTGTTTTGAATGCTCCAATATAAGCTGCCTTCCGACTACCTTAACACATTCCAACCCCTCAGGATGATGGTAACACACACCCATTTCGGGCAAATCTGGAGTCATACAGCACAGGAACAGACCCTTTGGCCCAACCAGTCTGTGCCAACCATAATCCCAAATTAAACTAGTCCCACCTGCCTGCTCCTGTCCCATATCCCTCCAAACCTTTCCCATTCACGTACTTACCCAAATGTCCTTTAAACATTATAACTGTACCCACATCCACCACTTTCTCCCTAAGTTCATTCCACCCAGTTTCTCCTGTGTAAAAAAATTTGCCCCTCGTATCTTTTTTAAATCTTTCTCCTCTCACCTTAAAAATATGCATCCTAGTCTTGAACTCATCCCCCCACCCTAGGGAAAAGACACGTGCCATTCACCTTATCGATGCCCCTCATGATTTTATAAACCCCTATAACGTCACCCCCTCAGCCTCCTACGCTCCGGGGAAAAAGCTATTATTGATTTTGAATCTAGACAAATGCAGCAGATAAAAAGGAAACATCAATGAGGTTAGCAGATAGGAGGAAGCTCATGTGGGAAGTAAAGATTTACAGAGACCCTGTGGGCAGAATGGCCTGATTCTCTACATTGCCGAGGGCACTTTAGAACGAGTGTGCCAGGGTGGGTATTGATTTTGTCCCTTGGGTTAATAGGAATGAATGGTGAAGGTGCTACACAAGTACAAGTTTTTGTTGTTGGGAAGGTAGGGGGGATGTTGCTTGGGAAATACATCCCGGGGTGGGGGGGGAAGTGTCAAAGGTGGGAGATCAGAGGTTTCTTACACAAGCTGAGCTTCGGCAACTAATTTTTGTTAATTTGTTCACAGGATATACTAGGCCAGCATTAACCGCCCAATTAAGAGTCAGCCACATTGCTGAGGGTCTGGAGTCACATGTAGGCCAGACCGGGTAAGGATGGCAGATTTCCCTCCCTAAAGGGCATTAGTGAGCCAGGTGGGTTTTGTCAATATATGCAGGGATTTTTCAACTGGTCATTAAGCATTTCCTTTTCGCCACTAAACCGTCCACATTTCTGAATCGATCGGCAATTTACACGTAAGATCAGTTGGGAGCAGCGCACCGATCATCAAACTCAGGGGTACGGAGAGAGAGAGAGAGAGAAAGAGGGTGCTCTGTCAAAATGGAGTTGGAAGGATAAAATGACAGCATTCGACCCTCTCTATAAAAGGGCAGGTAGGTTTTTACAATCATTCCAGTTCTTTATTTTTAATTTAACCATCTGCTGCAGAGAGATTTGAACCCATGCCCCTCGAACATTAGCCTGAAGGTTTGGTGTGACATTACTCTAGTTACATTACCACTTGCCCAGTGCACAGCTGCACCTGGTTTGGTTAAAGAGTAGTTTAGCTGGACCTACTCCCTCGCTCCTATCCTCCAAGTCCTCCACCTGTTTTTGATTTCCCAGGGGTTGAGCCAATTCTCTTGTAAAAGCCCCAATGGAGCCCATCTCCACCATAGTCTCAGGCAGCGCATTCCAGATCGTAATCACTCACCATTTCAAAACATAAAGCTCTGCCTCATGTCTCCACTGCTTCTCTTGCCAGTCAATTCAGGAGGACGCAACCAGCAATATTGATATCCTGTCTCCATTGTCTGTACAAACTGTCAAGCTCTCCACTTTAGTGGAGAGTCTGAGTTATAAGGATAGGCTGGGACTTTTCTCCCTGGAGCAAAGGAGGCTGAGGGGTGACCTTATAGAAGTTTATAAAATCATGAGGGTCTTGGATAAGACGAATAGCAAAGGTCTTTTCCCCAGGGTAGGGGAATCCAAAACTACAGGGCACAGGTTTATGGTGAGAAGGGAATGATTTAAAAGGGAACAGAAACAGAAGTTGCTGGAAAAGCTCAGCAGGTCTGGCAGCATCTGTGGAGAGAAATCAGAGTTAACGTTTCAGGTCCAGTGACCCTTCCTTAGTACTTTTTGTTTCTGATTTGCAGCATCCGCAGTTCTTTTGGTTGTTATTTCAGATTTAAAAGGGAGCTGAGGGGCAATTTTTTTTACACAGAGGGTGGTGCGTGTATGGAATGAGCTGCCAGAGGAAGTGGTAGAGGTGGGTACAATTACAACATTTAAAAGACATCTGGATAGATGGCTAGGAAGGGTTTAGAGGGCTATGGGTGAAACGCAGGCAAATGGGACCAGTTTAGTTTGGGGAACCTGGTGGGCATGGACAAGTTGGACCGAAGAGTCTGTTTCCGTGCTGTATGACTCTAGTGCTAAACAAAGATTTTTCTTTTAAAGTCTTGGAATTAAAAGGATAGTATAATAGTGAGTGTATAGCCATTGAGATGAAAATCCATCTGGTTTTCCAATGTCCTTTAGAGAAGGAAATCTGCTGTCCTTACCCAGGCTGGGCCTACACGTGACACCAGGCCCATGGCAGTATGGCTAACTGCCCCTCAGGGGCAACCGGGAATAAACACCTACGTTCATAAATGAATTAACAGAAAATTCTCCTTCGCGTTTTAATACAGTTATGACGAGGAGACCTCCATACTGGAGAGCTAAATGAGAACAAAGGCTGTGTCGGACACCAATCTTCCTGGGATTGCCCTCCCTCACCTTCAGCTCAACGTCAGCCAGTTCAAAAGGGAGGGGAAGATTGTTCAGGATTATTAAGACGAGGAAATTTGTGATATTCCCGCCCTGCCCCCATCTCTACAACAACTTAGTAATACAAGACAAAAGACCAGGCTTCTGGGGCCATGTTTATTGGTGCGTTGTCAATATTAAGTGGTGTCTAGGAGCACTTCCACATGACTAAAGCCAACCTTCTGCCTCCTTGACTGATGTCATCCTTATCTGGGAGACAAGCCTGTGGCCTAGGAGCTACAAGTGTAAGAAGCTCTCTCCAAAGTTCAAAGTTCATGACCTGTGATGTTCCAAGGCAGCTCCCAGGACTGCCACCACTTCTTCTTGTTTACTTCTGGGCTGGCATCAGGTCGTCGATGCTCTTCCCCTTCTCCAGTCGTTTCTCCATCTCGATCATCAGCTTCACGCCATCAACCACCATCTGGACCTGCTCGACCTCAGAAAAGCCCAGGCGATCAGCATTGGAAATGTCATAGACACTGCCAACGGCTTTAGTGTCCACACCACCTGGCAGGCCAAAGGACAAAATCAGGTTACCATCTAACAACACAAATAACCGACAGCCACCAGAGAGCCCTGCTGATCTTAGCGTATCCCCCAAATATCCAACAGGGTTCATCTGTCACACATTATCTTCATTCACAGTCAGCTCCTGCTTACAGCAGCCATTTTGTTCATGTTACATTTTGGCCGTTTATTTTCCTGTCAGGCACTGTGGCAGCCATTTTGCTCATGTTGGCTTTGGTGGGAGCCATTTTGTTCATGCTATATTTTGGTTATTTATTTTTCTGTCAGCCATTGTGGTGGCCATTTTCTTAATGTTGACCACCAAGGCAGCCATTTTGTTCATGTTAGCCTTGGTGGGAGCCATTTTGTTCATGTTACAGTTTGGCCATTTACTTTGTCAGCCACTGTGGCGGCCATTTTCTTCATGTTGACCACTGTGGCAGCCATTTTGTTCATGTCAGCCTTAATGGAGGCCATTTTGTTAATGTTACATTTTGGCCATTTATTTTCTGTCAGCCACTGCGGTGGCCATTTTGTTCATGTCGGCTGCAGCGGCAGCCATTTGGATCCAGTTGTCGGGGGCGGGGTAGATGTGGAAGCTCCAGATCCTTTGCCTGCCTCAATATGGCCAGGAGGTGTCCTGGCGCAACCTGCCTGCACACTGCACACAGTGCTTGGTTGGGGGGGTGCGGGTTGGTGGGAGAGAATAGCGTATTTCCCAAAGGCCACGTTACCTGTGCCACGCTTCTGCAGCCTCGTCCTCTTAAGGATCTCCTCGAATTTCTCGTGCTTGGACAGGTGAGGAATTTTAACATGGACACCGCCCCGCAGGCCAGTGCCCAGGTTAGATGGGCAAGTGAGGACATAGCCAAGATGCTCATTCCACATGAAACCACGCCCAGCCTTGACAAAGATTTCTTCGAGCTGCATTGGGAAGACAGCGTTAAGAGCGTGAGAATGAAGCTCCGGCACCCTAACAAATGCCACAGGCCTTTCGGCCCAATTAGTCTCTTCCTGCTGCCTGTGGAATATTCTCCCGCCCAACAAACTAAGCCTCAAAGTCAAACAAAGAACTGAGGATGCTGGAAGTCTGAAACAAAAACAGATTGGTGGAGAAACTCAGCCGGTCCGGCGGCATCCGTGGAGAGAGAAACAGGGTTTCGGGTCCAGCGACTCATAGAGTCACACAGCGCGGTAACAGACCCTTCGGCCCAACCAGTCCATGCCGACCACAATCCCAAGCTAAACTAGTCCCTGCTCCTGGCCCATATCCCTCCAAATATTTTTTATTCATGAATTTATCCAAATGTCTTTTAAACGTTGTAATTGTACCTACATCCACCACTTCCTCTGGAAGCTCATTCCACATGCAAACCAATCTCTGTGTATAAAAGTTGCCCCTCATGCCCTTTGTAAATCCTTCTCCTCTCACCTTAAAAATGTGCCCCCTAGACTTGAAATGCCCCACCCTAGGGAAAAGACACCAGCCATTCACCTTATACATACCCCTCACGATTTTATAAACCTCTGTAAGGTTACCACATAACCTCGTATACCCCAAAGTCCCAGCCTCCGCAGCATCTCCCTATAACCTTTCTTAACTCTGCTTTCTCTCTCCACCAGACCTGCTGAGTTTCTCCAGCAATTTCTGTTTCAGTTTCAGAAGGCAGCTGATCGAGAGAAACAGACACGCAGGGCTACGGTTGGAGAGGGGGTGGGGAGGTGAGACTGCTCGACAGAGCGCCAGCATTGATCTCAAAGGAACTGTTTGCGCGCTCTGGCTGTGTCAGAATCAGGCCACCGCTGTTAGCTCACGCCTCGTCTGTGCTGAGGGGGCAGTCAGCTCACTGAGTTATCCTACCTTTCTCAGGCCCACACAGAAACGCCTGAACACCTCCTTCATGTTGCCACCTTTCTGCATTGAGATGACACGGAGGTGGTCTTCCTCATTGATCCAAACCAAGAAAGTCTTATTGTCGTTATGCCTACATCAAGAACCAAAGTTCAAAAAAGAGAACATCAGTCAAACCATTCTAGAGAGTCACGAGCGTTACTGCTTCCACATCTTGCCCATTTGACCACAGGGGGCCATTTTTTTGACAACATGCAAGGGGCGCTTCCAACATTTCTCTCTTCTCATACAGCCATACAGCACAGAAACAGACCCTTCGGCCCAACCAAACATAATCCCAGACTAAATTAGTCCCACCTGCCTGCTCCTGCCCCATATCCCTCCAAACCTGTCCTATTCATGTACTTATCCAAATGTCTTTTAAACGTTGTAACTGTACCCACATCCACCACTTCCTCTGGAAGTTCATTCCACACACGAGCCACACTCCGAGTAAAAGAAAAATGCCTCCTCATGTCTTTTAAATCTTTCTCCTCTCACCTTAAAGATACGCCCCCTGGTCTTGAAATCCCCCACCCTGGGGAAAAGACACCTGCCATTCACCTTATTGAAACCCCTCATGATTTTGTAAACCTCTATAGGGTCACCCCTCAACCTCCTACGCTCCAGGGGAAAAAGTCCCAGTCTCTCCTTATAACTCAAACCCTCCATACCTGGCAACATCCTGATAAATCTCTTCTGAACCCTCTCCAGTTTAATAATATCCTTCCTATAAGAGGCGACCAGAACTGGGCAGAGTACTCCAGAAGAGGCCTCACCAACGTCCTGTACAACCTCAACATGATGTTCCAACTCTCAGACTCAAAGGGCTGAGTAATGAAGGCAAGTGTGCTAAACGCCTTCTTTACTATTTCACACCCTCACCTCGTCCTTCTCTCAGTGTGAACCTTCCTCTCAAAACAAAGCCAAACGCATATGGTGCCCCCCCCGCTTCCGAAACAATGTCCAACTACCAGTCCATGCCTGATATGGGCGCCCACATTGACACACAACCCAGATTCGTTCCAGTCTACCGAGGCAAACGAGCAAAACTTCGATGTGGGCACAAATGTGCATCACTGAGGAGGCAGCGGAGCGCTGCTAATGTCACTAGTTACCGAGCAATGACCCTGTCGTTGGGAGCATGGGTTCAATTCCCACCACGGTTGCAGATGGTATCTGAATACAATTAAGCGTGCCGAATTTTGAATTGAGAGCTAGTCTCAGTGATGCTAACTCTGAAACTATTGTCAACTGTTGTGAAAAATAAAACCCATCTGCTCCATTAATGGAAAGGGAATCTGCCATCCTTACCTGGTCTGGCCAGCATGTGACACATGCAGGGGGCTGTAGGGGCCAAGCCACTGAGTGTCTTTAAGACAGAGATGGGTTTTTGATCAGTGAGGGGATCGAGGGTTACGGGGAGAAGGCAGGAGAATGGGGTTGAGAAACATATCAGCCATGATCGAACAGCAGAGCAGACTCAATGGGCCGAATAGCCTGATTCAACTCCTATATCTCCAGACCCACAGCTTAACAGCTCCCTGAAATGGCCTGAGCTAGACACTCATTACAAGGGGCAGTTAGGGAAGGGTAATCAATGTACCTGCCCATCAGGAATGCCCACATCCTACACTAACACCTTACTCCAGAGACCCCACAGGATGTGGTTGACCACTCTCTCTGAAATAGAAACATTGTGCTAGTTCTGCAATTCAATATGTTCATCCAACTCAGTCCCCACTTTCTTCTTCACACCCTCTCATCCTGAGAATTGTTCCCCAGAAACTCACACCAGGGGTGGCCAATAGATGCTGACCTCACCCGGGGGCCACCCAATGCAGTCACTCAGACCCAACCAGGTTACATTTCTCTTAAAGTGCAGGCTGGCTGAGACCAGATGGATTTTTGTTAGAAAAGTGTTTGATAGGGTTGATACTTCCCTCTGTGCGTGTGTGTGTGTGTGGGACTGTGTGTGTGTGTGTGTGTGGGATGGTGGTGTGTGTGTGTGTGGGATGGT